TTTGTCCTTTTATTTTGTATTGATATTAATTGTAGTAAAAAAAAAGTTTTTTTTTTTTTTTTTGACAAAAGAGCTATCAAATAAATGGAAAACTAACAGAAACAACATCAGTCAACGAAAAGCTAAAACATAAAATACAACAACTGACGACGCCGGACACAACCTGCTAACCAGTGACCCGGAGTAACCCACAAACGAGGAACCTTTTGAACCTGGCAAACCAAAAGGGATTGAACTGAAGCCCGCAACTCCTGAATGAGCCACCAAACCGAAATTTCCATTGACCCAGACGGAGGACAAAGAGCAAGAAGGGCAGCACAATCTGTATAAACCCGAATTTTCAAGAAGCCTCTACGGATAGCAAACTCTAAACCCCAAACACAAGCTTGAAGCTCAGACTGCAACGCTGAACTTGCCATAAAAGCCCGACATCCACCTCCTAGTACCTTAGAAGAATGAATATCACGAACTATCCAGCCTGCTCCAGCCCTATAAGTGGAACAATCCTAGGCCCCATCTATAATCAAACAAACCGTTGGAGAGATATTAGGTAACTCTCGCAGACACTGCGACCTGACATCCTGCTTATCCTCCAAACGAACCAAACAAGAAGATTTCGAAGACCTCTTCCACTTTTGAGCCTGCATAGCACGAAGAAACCACTCTGACGTCAAACCAACAATAGTCCCAAGCGACCAAACAGCTTTCCTAAACCTCAGATGATTACGAGAAATCCAAATTTCCCAGAGAAGAGAAAATAACAAAGCAACACCCTTCCAATCCCTCAGTGACGAAAAATGAAAAATTGTACACGAGAACCAAACACCGAACGAAGGAAACTGCATAAGATCCCATTGAATGCCCAACGCTCCAGACAGCCAAAGACTACTGATAACAGGACAATCTCTGAATGTATGAGACATAGATTTCACATCCACATGACAAAAAGCACAAACTGGATCGATCGGGAGCCCTCGAGCATGGAGAGTAGTCGCTAAAGGAAGAGCGTCATGCAACAATTTCCAACCAAAGATTTTCCACCTTGGAAGAATTGGTAAAGCCCAAAACTTCCTCCACCATGCTGGAGAAATTTGAGATTGACTACTAGACAAGACCCTAGGCTCACAAAGAAGTGCATAAGTAGATTTTGTTGAGAAAACACCATCCCTAGTGAACTTCCAGTAAACAAAATCATCCATCAACTGCAGTGGCCGATCCAACGAAAGAATTCTAGCAGCAGAGCTAGATTCAAACAGACCATGAATGATAGTAGCATTCCACGCGCAAGAACGCGGATCAAGTAAAGAAGACACAAGAGTCGGTCGAACCGACTTAGACGGAAGATCCTTAAAATGAACCGGTTCCCCCGGAACCCAAGAATTCTCCAAAATACGAACACGAGAACCTGAACCAACCTTCCAAAACAGACCTTTCGACAACACGGAAAATCTCAACATAAGACTTCTACAACCCCAAGAGGGACAAGAAACCGAGAACGAAGAGCTGGATATTTTGCAAACAGAAGCCGGGAAACCAACAACTGAGGGCACTGAATAATCCGCCAACTCTGCTTAGCCAACAGGGAAGAGTTAAAAGGGGCAATACTGCGAATTCCCAATCCTCCTAAACCCTTTGGAAGATGGAGCAATGACGAAGAACGAAGAGCTAATCCTCGATTAGAAGAAGAGGACTTCCACCAAAACCTGGCTAACAAATTATCCATCCTAGAACATATAGAATCAGGAATTTTTTGAAAACAGACAAAATATGATTAAAGGAGGCAATGAGCACTGAGTTGATAATAACAAGCTTCGCCGCCGGTGAAAGTTGAAGAGCTGCAAAGGCCTGTAAGCGTTTGGCAACCTTGTCCAAGAGGAACCCAAACTCAGAGCATTTACTACGGCCCAAATCAACAGGTAGCCCCAAATATGAACCAAATCTAGATTCAGACCGCATTTTCATACAACCAGAAAGATAAGCTCGATAGTCCTCTGGAGTATTAGGACTAAACTTGACAAACGACTTCTGCAAATTAAGCATTTGACCTGAAATATCACAGAATGCAGAAAGCACATTCATCACATGTTCACACGCAGGAGGAGAAACCTGGAAAAATAGTAAGGAGTCATCGGCAAAGAACAAATGTGAAATAGCTGGAAAAATTAGTATTGTTAATTTCCCTCCAAGTAAAACTTTTGAAGTCCATCTCTTCTAGTCTTCTGTATCTTTAAAGATTCAAGACTTGAAGTGCAAGGCTCATAGTTTAAAGGAAAGTTGTTTCCAATGTTCCAGCATAGATTTCTGAGGAGAATTTGCTTCACCTTTTATTTTAATTTCCAGGAACATTATTCTTGTCATTTTTAACTTCACATCGTTTTGTTAGGCATAGCCAGAGGATCTACAACATATCTTCAGAATGTGCTTTAATGCTCGTTCAGTTTGGAGGGGTGGTTGCCTAGGCATCCACTCAAAATTTTATGGAGACCTTTCTCTCTCAGATTGGATCCAAGGTTATATCCGACTTTTTATTAGTCAGGATGGCCCTTCTAGTTCCCGCTTAGGTACCTTTGTCGGTACGCTTTGGGGTTTGTGGTTATGTCGGAATGTCAGGATCTTTAGGGATTCCTCTACCTCCCGGCCATTTGATTTACAGTTTGCGGAGGATATGGAGACTCATTCAATCTTTGTAGCCTCCGAGGAATCTTCTTTTACCTCTAATTCGGTGGGAAGGGATGCTGGGGCTTCTTCTCCGCCTGGGTTTTACTTAGCTCACCTTGGTCTAACTAACCAGGGGACGGCGTTACATACTCTCCAAATTGATGGCTCTTGGTTTCAAGACTCTCAACATGCTGGGATGGGTTGGTGCTTAGATAATGATGATCCGTTAGATGCTCGTATCCTCGGTGGCAGTAACTATGGCCAGTGTTCTTCAGCTTTACATGCGGAGGCTTTGGCTTGCATGTATGGCCTTCAATGGGCGTTGGATCAACGGTTTAATTCCATCACAATTTTTACTGATTCGTGTAATCTCGTTACTCTTCTTCGGGGGGATGGTCAAGGTAATGTGGATTACCATTGGCTCATTCGAAAAATTAGACGGCTAGGCTCTTCCTTTCAGGTTTGCAGTATCTATAAGGCGGATCGTCAGCGTGTTAATCGAGCTCATCAAATTGCTAGAGAAGCGGCAGTCAATTTTATTTGCTTTAGTATTAATATATAATCTATTTGTATCCTTTGTCTAAAAAAAAAAGTTATAGTATAGAATATTGAATGAATAAAGTAATTCATAGGCTTACGTGTATTGGGCCATGCATGGCACTATAAACACTTTTTTATAAGAAGATACTTGCATATTTCTAACACTGTAAGATACTCGACAATATGAAATTAGCGCAAAAATGCAACATAGATTTAGGCTACAACACTCTACATGGTATATGGAATTTGAATATTTATGTCGGATATAAGTACCTGCATATCTGAATATGAAATTAGCGCAAATTAGATATAGAAGTATGGTAGGATATTATAAGCATTTTGTCAAAGGATCTTATGAAATTAGCACAAATTAGATGTAAAAATGTAGAATGTTTAAAATAGATTACTACTTAAAGGATCAACTTGACTAAAATCCATATTGAACATAAATATACGTCTATTTTAATATAAAAAGAGTGCATGGGACTATAATCTGTTGCCATCTTAAATTATTCAGTTGACGGTTAAATTAATGATCCATTTATATTTTATCACTTGTGTACGTGGTAAAATGAAGAATTGAAAAACTTATACTTCACTTAACTACGAGTACTTTGCAAAAATAATTAACATGTATGAAATAGTCTACTTGTTATTTATTAAAATTTAGTACCAAATCAATATTTAAGAGATCATCATATTGTACCGCTAGGACTCATCTTTATCGTTGTTAATTTTGGCCAATCACGCAAATTACCGACCTAGTGAAGGAAAGGATAATATTATTACTTGGAATTCAAGGTAAAATTACTTTTTTTTTTTGGGCGTTATCCATTATGTCATATTGATGATGATCACAATTTATCGTAAGTAAAAGTAATTTGAAGGGCCAAAGCAATTTAACTTTTTAAAATATGACTTTCAACCACATGTCCCCAAGTAAAGCTAAGAGATGTAAAAATGTTCACATTAGACATGCTAAAGCTCATTAACAACATTTTGAAAGCATTTCTTAGAGATATATTGGATGTTAAACATATGATGAATAAAGTCTTAAATTGTATATAAATCCACTTATATACAATTTGAAGATAAGACTTTTAGTTTGTATTACTAAATCATACAAGTACTGTTACACTCACTATTAATATCGGGTTAGTAGTTAAACTAAAAGATTAATTTGATGGTTGAAGTCCTTAGTCCTATAACGATTACTTTATCACGGGTGTTTAATTGAAGTAAATGAAGAATCGAGTAACATGTAGTACACTTGTTATTAAGCCATCTAGCACCAAATTAATTTTTTAAAAGATCATCAAACCTTACCACTAGAACTCATCTTTATCAATGTGAATTTTGAAATACCAACCTTAAGAAGGAAAGGATGCTATAACTTGATATCAAAGGTACAAATGCTTCCTTTTTTGGGCATTATGTCACGTTGATGACGGATCAAAGCTTATTGGTAACTTACAGTAAAATCGCAATTAAATTACTTGGTATTAAAAAATGGAAGAAAAAATTACTCGAAAACAAACTAAGAAGTAATCAACTCTGTTTTTAAGCAAATATGTTCTTAATAAATGATGATAATAAACTTTTAAGGATGCTGTAAAGACGTTGAAGGGACCACCAAAGCTACATAACCTTATCTTATTACTTGGCTTTAGGTTCTATGCAAGCAAGGAACTGATTCAAAGATCTTTTAAAACTTTATATCACATTATCATATTATGTAATTAAACAAAAAAATAAAATAAAAATTATTACAAATTTTTATCACTATATAATGTTCAGTTTACTGAGCGCTAGTAGAACAGTTACACTTACTTGTTCTAGTAACAATCACAAAGTTTTTAGTACAAAGGTAGCTAAGAAAAAAAGAAAAATGTCTGCTGCACCATCACATAGGCAGATGGCTAGGAATGAACGTCGGATGTTTGCTGCATCCGACGACAGCACAATGCTGAAGCAGATCCAGGGAACACATGCTCCTGATGGCCGCGATGTAGATGTCAGGCCGATCTTAGAAATCATTGAGGATGTCTTTAAGCGTGCTGCCCCTAGCATTCCTGTATGTTTATTATTTCTTCAGTCCATTTTTAATTTTTTTTTGTATGTGTGTTCTGTTTTTAAATTGTGATCATTTTATTGTTCATTTTGCAGGGTGCACATATTGAATCTTTGGATGATAAGACTGGTGCAGCTGTTGTTGATGAAAATGGGATGCTTGAAGCATTGGCTTTTGTCATTCAGAAGGTTTCCTGTGAGGTACTAAGACCACTCTCAATGGTGAGCAAAGAAAATGTTCACCCACTCTCTCTCTACCCACTTTCTCTCTCAACAAATCAATTTTGTTCATGGGCAAATTTTTTTCATATTTCCTCTCCCAATGGTGAGCAAAAAAAATGCTCACCCACCACTATCTCTCTCTTACTTTTTCAATACCCTACCATAACTTTCTCTCTCCTACACAACACTTCTTTATTTATTTATTTCATTTATATTTTAACATTATTCCAAATAAATAAAAACTAGTTTAATTACGTGTAACTTATTTTTTTTATTTTTTTCTTTTTTATCGTTAAAATTTATCGTAAAATTATTTATGTTATTATAAATAATTGTAAAAAAAAAGCTCATAATTTTTTATTTATTTTAAAAGCGGTACAATATTAGAGAACAATTAATTTGCAACGTCATGCGCAATTAAACTTAGGAAATAAAAAAAACACAACAACTACATCGTCTAATTTCTCCCTAATTACGGGGCCCGTATCGTTGCCAAATATGTTCGACTAAATCACGTTTCAGAGATAGATGAATTTCTCTGTCACGGAGGGAAGCTTTTCGCTGTAGAAATGCGTTGAAGTCAAAGTTGGTAGGTCGGCCTACGTTGAATTCAAACGGTGGCGTTGTAGATGTTGATGCTGGTGTTGATTCTTGTTGATCTTCTTCGTAGAAGGCTCTTAGAACTTCGGCTCGAGTGTTGATTCTGATGCAGTGGAGGTGGTTGCGTCGACATATTGCCCATTCTTTGCAAGAACAACTGAAACTCGGGATTAGTTAGGAAATCATCACTAAAACCCGAAAGTTGTTGACGGAAATTTGGGTTGTTTGGATCCATTAAAATATTCTGCACCAAAAAACAAAAGATCAATATCGTTACAAACATTTACTCAAAAAACAAATTAAAATGATAACAAATCCAAAAAAATATCAACAACTTTCTTCAATTGCATAATGCAATAACATTACATGCCATACAAAATAACATATATACTAATTTTAACACATAACTACAGGTACATGTTAAAGAAAATAATTAACCAATACTTGCAACACTTTAAGAACATGTACATAATGCAATATAATTTCGTGGCCTATAATTTTTTTTTTCAATAAAATCACATATATACTAATTTTATTAAGTTAATACATTTATATATAGCAACAAAAATTTACCATTAATTAATTGCAACAACAAATTCAGAAATTTATGGACAAAATATAAACAACTTTCTTAATAATTACATATTGCAAATATAATTACATGGCCTAAAATATTTTTTTTTTTTAAAAAAATCACATATAATATACTACTTATATTTAACTGATTTTAAAAATTAAATAATTTTTTTTTTACCTCAATATGGATGAATTGCAATAGCAATATTCTTCTACAAAATTAAAATACTTTTAAGAAAATTAAAATTTGGAGGATTTTAAGGTGTTTTTGAAATTGTATCAAAATATATCAAAATGCATGTCTATTTATAGAGAATTTAATTTTATGACCGTTGGTAATTTTTTTTTTTTTTTTTTACAAAATATATTTTTCTGAAAATGGGAAATACATAAATAACCGTTGTAAAACGGCTAGTATTTTCTGATTGGTTGTCTTGCTGCCAGCTGCCACGTGTCGCGTCCTCATTCGCCAGCGAACTGCACGCGTCAGCTTCCCTTTTTTTTTTTTTTCTGATACTCAAAACGACGCGTTTTGAGGCGCGCCTTTGAGGCAGCTTCATCAAAACGCGTCGTTTTGATGTTAGAGTCAGCTTTTTTTTTTATTTTTCTGACGCGTGTGGGGCCCACTTGCAACACTGTTCATGGCAAAAAATGCTCAACTTTTGAGCTTTTTAATAAATGCTCATGAGCATTTTTACCTATTTTTCATTTTACTCACCATTGTGAGTTGTGAGCATTTTTTTTTCCTCACAAAAAATGTTCACGAGCTAAAAAAACTCTCACCATTGAGAGTGCTCTAAATGAGTCAATTACTCGCGATTTTATATAATTTTGTTGCCCCTTTAGGCCATGACCATCAGGACCACACCTAGTCATTTTAACTGAATGTTATACTTGTGTGTCCAAAATAAAGTATCTAAGGAAAAACGAATTTTAAACCAGAAGACTGATAAAATAGATGTACAATACATTACATGGATTGGCAATTATACTTGTAAAATCTCAAATGAGCCAAAAAAAAAGGTCTTATCTTCAAATATAATTTCATGTTTTCATAACATATGTTCTGTATACTGGCAGATAACATGCAAATGCGCGGGAGGAGGAGATGCACATGCGACAACAATGGCACTTCTCAGCTTGCTGTCAAGCTATTCATGGGATGCAAAGGTAGCCATAGCTCTAACGGCACTAGCAATAGCCTATGGAGAGTTTGGGTTGGTGGTTCAGCTCTTCTCTAGTCACCCTCTCGCCAAGTCTGTTGCTGTCCTTAAGCAACTACCTGATGTAATGGAGCACTCTAATGCACTGAAATCCCGCTTTGAAGCCTTGAACAATCTCATTGGGGCGATGTTGGATGTAACAAAGAGGATTGTTGAGTTCAGGCAGCTGCCTCAGCAGTACATCTCAGCTGAGCAGCCGCCTTTATCTGTTGCTATGACACACATTCCAACTGCTGCTTACTGGACTATCAGGAGTGTTGTGGCCTGTGCCACGCAGATTTTTAGTCTTATTGGCATGAGCTACGAGTGAGTTTACTCTTAATCAAAACAATCTAATCTGATCATTAGTTTATATATACTGTATTTTCTATTGGCATCATACTGTTTTCATTGTTTTCTAGGTATGTTTCATCAACGACGGAAGCATGGGAGTTATCAAGCTTGGCTCATAAAGAGAGGAACATTCATGATCATCTTATGCAACAACTTGCACTATGCTATCAGCATATAGGTCAATCTTCTTCGTATTTCCTCCAAAATTTATTGTTGCGATTACTAATAATTAGTGTGATATTTTTACTGATAGCTCCTGTATGTTTGAACCATTTCTCCACTATTCGCTTTACTAATTTAACAAACTTTCTTTGCATATAGTATAATTGTATTGTATGTGAAATCTAGTATAATAGTTCTATAATGACGATTATTAAACATAGTAAATAATTTCCTTTTGTGATAATGCAGGAAACTGTAAGGTATGTCAGGACTCCCCTGCATTTGCCTTAAAAAATCTGTTTCTTTAAGTATATTAGACAAATGTTTGATGGCTTTGATCTAGTAGGATTACTGAATTTATCAAGTTGAATTTTCTTGGGCATTTTTAGAAATTAATGTGATATGCAGATGAGAAGAAACACATTGAGGCATACAACAATCTTGTACGCATCCTCGACTTACCACAGCTTGACAACACCAGGATTCTAAGGCATTTGATATACTTGAAGGATGATATTATGCCCCTTTATGAAAAGCATACCAATTCAAGGGTTAACTCTTACACCACATACTTTTTCCATCCATTTTAGTTCATTTTCCTCCTAAAAATAATCGAATCCTAACGACTCAAGTGCAACAGGTTCATGTTGAAGCCCTCAGGAGAAAAACAGTCCTGTTACTCATTTCAGACTTTGATGTCACCGAAGAAGAGCTGAGGATTCTAGACCAAATTTACAGTAAATCAAGGTCAAAGCCTGAGCTCCAGTATGAAATTGTGTGGATTCCGATAATTGACAAGACTATCCCTTGGAGTGAAGCACTACAGCAAAGATTCGAGCAGCTCGAGTCCATGATGTCATGGTATACTCTGCATCACCCAAAAATTATGGAGCCTGCTGCTATAAGGTATATTAGGGAGGTATGGAATTTTGACAAAAAGATGATCCTTGTCGCGCTAGACCCCCAAGGGAAAGTTGTATGCCAAAATGCTCTTCACATGTTTTTAATTTGGGGAAATTTTGCCTACCCTTTTACTACTATGAAAGAAGAAGCTCTTTGGAGAGATGAGTCTTGGAGGCTTGAGCTTTTTGTAGATGACATCCAACCTCAAATCATCGAATGGGTATATCCTCTTTCATATCGCTGTCAAATTTCACTGTTTTTTTTAAACAGTTTTCGGTTCTTTTACTTCTTCTGTATGATATTTCAGAGAAAAGACATAGAATAGATCAATAGATTCATTGCATTAGCATAACCATAACGAGTTTTAAGCTTAATAAATGTGTGCCTTTTTTTTCGTAGGCTCATGAAGGAAGGTACGTTTGTGTGTATGGAGGGGAAGACATGGATTGGATAAGGCGGTTTACTCATACTGCCAATAAAGTAGCAGCCGCGGCAGGAATCACTCTAGAGCTAGTATATGCCGGGAAAAGCAATGCAAAGGAGCGAATGAGGAAAATTGTTCAAGTCATAGACAAAGATGGACATAGCCATTATTTGCCTGACTTGAACTCAATGTGGTACTTTTGGATTAGGCTCGAGTGTATGCTCTATTCGAAAATGCAACATGGAAAGGGTGTTGAGAGTGACTCGATTATGCAAGAAGTGATGACAGTGCTTAGCTTCGATGGAAGTGACCAAGGGTGGGCTACTATGTGGTTCGGATTAACTGATATGGCTAGATCCAAAGGAGACATGATACTAGATTGCCTCATGAAGTTTGAAGATTGGCAGGAAAATGCATTAAGGATAGGTTTTTTACCTGCTTTAAAGGAGCATTTGCAGGAACTTCATACTCCACACCACTGCAACCGGCTTATTCTTCCTGGGGTTGGAGGCGGTATCCCTGAGAAGGTGGTCTGTGCCGAGTGTGGAAGACCTATGGAGAAGTACTTCATGTACCGCTGCTGCACTGATTAAAACACTTGCATCTTCTATAACCCGAAAATTATTCAGTTCATTTGATTTTTTATATGATAAGTTTATGCAGTGTATAACAATTTTATGGTTAATGAGTGCCAAGATTCTGCTATGTTTACAAGTAATTACTGAGTTTTAGAGCTTTGTAATAGTCTGCAACAGAGTGTGTGATCATGTAATGCAGTATTAAGATTAAGAATGTAAGATTATTAAATTCTAGTGACAAAGCTGTTCTTTTTTCTGATATATTCAGTTTTTCACTACATACATTCCCTACAAATTTTGATCACACATTTTACTGACCATAAGACATAAGCATATATATTTAAGACTACAAACTGACTGGTCACCCCTTGGTCTAGTTATCGATCATATAGTCTCATACTTCCCGTGAATCTTTTTAATTAGGTCACATGTTATGACATTTAATAATCCGATTTACATGTAACATTTAATTACCTCGATTTACATTTAATTTGCCTTGTATTTTTAAATTAATATGGAGTATCAAAGTATATAATGCTTATTTGTATCCTAAATGGCTACTATGTCATTATTTTACCTTTTATTTATTTTTTTATTTTTTTTTTGAAACAATTATTTTACCTTTTATTATCCATCTATCTATTTAATAATTTTAGAGTCACTTTTAACCTGCACCAAAACTAAGCTAAACCATGCATCTATCAAATTTTGTTCCTTCTTATACTACTTAGTTAATTTTTCCATTTCTACGCGTGAGATCTAAGTTCTTTCATAACCATACTTTCTCCAATATAATATGTAAAATGATAATTATTTACACAATTTATCTTTTTTAATACAAGCTGTCAAGCTAATGACTAAATGAACGTAATATTTCTTCAAAAATAAAAAAAAATGAACGTAACATATAACAGGTAATAGAGCCGAGCAAATTAAGGATGAAATATCCTAAACATGGGATTTTATTTACATAAATAAATAGGTATTCCATATTGTTTACACTAATTAATGTGAGGATATTGTGCTACAAGCCTACAAAGCCCATAATAACTTGTTAGGTCCCATGCTAGGCATAAGATGTAGTTTTCAAAAAAAAAAAAAAAATATTACGATTAATTACTATTTAATTAATTACTCAGTACAAGGTAATAAGATGTAGTTTTCAAAAAAAAAAAAAAAAAAAAGGTAATAAGATGTATGTAGACTTGTTCATTGTAACAATATTCTTCACAAATTAATTTACTAATAAATTGAAAATAATAATAACTAACAAATCAAATATGATTATATGAGCATTACGTACGTATGTAGACACTGAATCATATGTGTATCCATGCATATTATTTTAATTTTAAACAGAATCAATACAAATCAAGAAATAATTGGAATTGATTGATATAGTAATAAATAAAAATGTAATCAATAATCATCTAGGGAATAGGGTAGACTAATAGTATAAAAGGGTGATCTACTATATCCAACAAACACACACAAACATTCCATTCTACAAAATCGAATGGATAAGTAATTAAGAAAAAAACAAGCTAGCTATATAGTGCAAACTAAAGAGAGAAATTAAAGTGGAAGATGGAGATGAAGAATGTGGTTAGTTTGCTAGTATTGGCATCTGTTTTGATTGCTGCAACCATCCCTCAACCTACCTCGGCAGCCCGTATAATCCCTATTTTTGAACCCCCCATTATCCCCTCTGTCTCAGATAGGAGTTTAATCCCTACTCCTCAACCCCCCATTGTCCCCTCTGCTTCAGACAAGAGTTTAATTCCTATTCCCCAACCTCCCATAACCCTCTCTACCTCAGACACAAGTTTAATCCCTATTCCCCAACCCCCCATTGTCCCATCTGTCTCAGATAGGAGTTTAATCCCTATTCCTCAACCCCCCATTATCCCCTCTGCTTCAGACAAGAGTTTAATTCCTATTCCCCAACCTCCCATAACCCCCTCTACCTCAGACAGAAGTTTAATCCCTATTCCCCAACCCCCTATTGTCCCATTTGTCTCAGATAGGAGTTTAATCCCTATTCCTCAACCCCCCATTGTCCCCTCTGCTTCAGACAAGAGTTTAATTCCTATTCCCCAACCTCCCATAACCCCCTCTACCTCAGACAGAAGTTTAATCCCTATTCCCCAACCCCCCATTGTCCCATCTGTCTCAGATAGGAGTTTAATCCCTATTCCTCAACCCCCCATTGTCCCCTCTGCTTCAGACAAGAGTTTAATTCCTATTCCCCAACCTCCCATAACCCCCTCTACCTCAAACAGAAGTTTAATCCCTATTCTCCAACCCCCCATTGTCCCATCTGTCTCAGATAGGAGTTTAATCCCTATTCCTCAACCCCCTATTGTCCCATCTGACTCCTTAGACATGATTTTAATCCCTATTCCCCAACCTCCCATAACCCCCTCTACCTTAGACAGAAGTTTAATCCCTATTCCCCAACCTCCCATTGTCCCATCTGTCTCAGACAGGAGTTTAATCCCTATTCCTCAACCCCCTATTGTCCCATCCGCCTCCTTAGACAGGAGTTTAATCCCTCTTCCTCAACCCCCTATTGTCCCCTCTACCTCCTCAAAGAGGAGTTTTAATCCCTATTGCCTAACCCCCTATTACCCCCTCTGCCTCGAACAACCTCTTTCCATCTCAACTCTACTCGTTTGTCCCCATTATTCCCTGTCCTTCAGAGAACCCCTCTCAAGAGGTTCGCGACCCATAATATGGGTAAAAGTTATTCAAGAGGCAAGGGAAACACGTGAATAATAATGTACTTCTCTTTTATTATTTAAATTAAAATAAAAGATCAATATCTATCTTTGTTTTCGATCTTCTAACATTTTCATATTTGTGATTTTATATTGCACAATGACTTTTAAGAATAAACGTCAATATTTTTTCCTCTCTACTTTTATTAATTGTCATCTTTTTAAACAATAACCAGATTATTTATCACTTCGTAATATTTATGAAATGTGACTATTAAGATTTAAGTCATCCTAATAAAAACAATGCGAGAAGTAATTAAGATTTTAGTGGAGCCTAAAAATTTAAACACATCATTTCAAATATAGATTATGTAGATGTGAATAATGTGATGCCTGATGCATGGCGCTAATGCAAAGCTTAAAGATAAAAAAAAAAAAAAATGTTGCAAAATAATTCATAGGATGACAAAGTAAAATAATTCTTTACAACTTTTTGTTAATCCATAAACTTAACTTGATTAGAATAATAAACACCTTAATTCTTCATGGATTCAATCATTTTGAACAATTTTTACAATAGTTGTGTATGCGTCTTAGGTTTTGTGGTTGATGATGCTCCAAAAAATAAGCCCCATTCAGTTCAATATTTATGAAGTCGTTCGTTTATGATAAAATCTAAAGTATAAAGCAAGAACACCAAGATTTCTCCATCTATTGCAATTTGGAATTATATAGGGTACATTTAGACTGCAAGGGAAATTATTTGCAATAAAGTATATGAAAACCAAGATTTCTCCATCTATTGCAATTTGGAAATACATAGGGTATATATATATATTTTTTTTTTGACAGCTGAAAAAAGGAGATTACTCCCAGCTGTTAGGGTATATTAAGACGGCAAGGAATTGCATAAATTTATTTGATTTTCGTGCCAATGACACCAAGACTACAATATATACTTGTAGGTTTAGAAGTTCTATGAAAACTCATAAGAAAGATTGTAAAAGGCGAATTGATATTAGGCGTTTATACATATACATTTAATTTTTGATTATTTATTTGATTAAATAAGATAAGATACAATTATTAAATTGCTCTCTAATAATGTTGTATAACTAAATACTCATTTGGTAAGTCTGCAAGATTGTGTTATCAAACCAGGGTTGCTTTTAGTGATAACATCAATAAAATGACATTTTTCTTCTTTGCATATCACTGCTAATAATATTAACCAAAGCATATCAAATCCATCTATAGCATATGAAATCATCATTGGGTACGCTCTTAATAACTTGAAATTAAGTGATTTTGGTGTTTATGACTCTGTGCTACCCTCGGCTTAAGTCCTACAACTCGCTCTCACAAGCTTGATCCAAAATCCAAACCATACATTTTTAAAATAGTTATGCATATTATTGTTTAGACCCAAACACAAATTAGGTTTATGTATTCAGACAATCAGACATGGTTGGTTTATTAAAACTGAAATTCCTTGTAATTATGCTCTTCTTTTAAACAAAAAGACTCTACTTACTCTCTTCCAAACAAGGTGTTTAGTGACTTCAGTCCAATTGTCAATCTTTGAGAACCTAGTACATGAACATCCATACTCTCTAGGCCCAATCTCATCAATGTATTAATATCTTGGACAGCCTAGCCCACCAACTCATTTCACTTCAAATGCTTTTGCCCCACCTTAAAATTTTTTAAAAACTAATACTTCCTCCATCTAATAATACTTGAGACGTTGAAATGGATACGTACTTTAAGAAAATTACAAGTGGCTCCATTTAAAATATTTGTTTATTAGATAAAGAATTCTCTTTTGTATTTTTATATTGCAAGAAAACAAAAGGTGGGGGAAATGGAGGTAGTGGGTAGTGATGACTCTGATGAGAGAGAAAGTGTAGGATTTAATTGAGTTTGGGGTTTGCGGTCCCAAAGAGGGTACAACAAAATATATTTTTTTATTAGTGATCTCATTTCATATTTGGTAACGTGTAAAATATTTTGGGACGAACAAAATGATAGCTATGTCAAGTATTATACAGCGGGAGGCCATGTTTGGTAAATGGCTTTTTGATGACTTTTTGGTTAGCTTTTGGCTTTTTTTATGTGGTCAAACAGCCAAAAAATGTGTTTGGTAATTGGCTTTTTAGTCAGCAAAAAGCTGGCTTTTAAGCCAAAATAAATAAATAAAAAAAAAAAAAACTGCTTGGAGTTGCTTTTTTTTGTTGGCTTGTGGCCCACAAATTGGCCATGTTTGGTGTAGGGAATATTTCAAGCGTTAATCCCTAGCTTGAACCCCATTGTGATCATACACTAAAGTACGGTGGCGTCCAAAGGGAAAGAAGATAGAGCAAAAGAGTCGCCAACAAGTTTTTTAGGAACTTGTAAACCGTTCACGAGGTGAAGGTTACACCCCTTAACGATCCAAGAGATCGTCAACTCCAATAAGGTCTTGAACCAAATAGGGTTCGGGGATGAAGGTACAAATCCAACCTAAAAGAGATTGAACCTGCCCTAATAATAGGCCTCTACTTTATTCTGATCGTATTCATGTGCGCTTTCTGACTAACATGCAATCAATAGGATTAATCCTAAACCTGTTTATCTATGTTGGTTGAATTTAATGCACAAATAAAACTATTATTGGCGATCACTTGAATTATAATCAAATTAACCCTAAACAAGATTATTAATTATCTTATTAAGCGTGATTACAAGTACAAATTCCCTTTAAACATGCATAAAAGGTGTGTTCAAGCAATAACAATAAATATATATCAAGCAACATAATAATAATCATCACAATAACAATAATTATAACAATTATAATCATAATCATATTAATGTTAATATTAAAGCATAGCAAGATCCTAGGCATGATACTAACAAGATTAATAACAAACCCTAGCATGTCACTAAACATCAAAAATCATATATGTAGCCCTAACATGATACTAACAATCATAAATATTAGGAAGAACATAAAAGGCATCATACTTTTAATCATATACTTGATATTAAATTTACCCTAGACATGATACTAGGAATATAATCAAAATAACAATCTAAGCATGATTTCTATATCATAACATCAATAAAAACCATTAAAATACTTACTTTGATGCCTCATGCCTCTTTCTAATAACAAAATACACGCGTTAGTAACTTCAAGGAAAATAATAAATAAAACAATAATTAAATTAAATAATGGAAAGAGAGATTTGGGACCAAACCCTCAGAAATTAAACCTTTCACGTCTAGGGCGAAGGCAACTCCGAATATGGCTAGGTGTATCTAGTGCTAATGTATGAGGAATTGTGTTCATAAAAGGGTTGGTTTAGAAAGAGGGAGAGAATCAAGAAATTCTTGATGAGAGTTGATGTATTGGTTAATTGTAGATTGTAGATTATTGTTGATGAATGAAAACGGAGTTTTTACGACGTTATTTATAAAGAAAATCAGCCAAAAGATAAAATATCAAAACAGAGTTCTGGCGCAAATAAAATCTGATTAGCGCCAACGCTGCCTATTGGTGCCAGACGCCAACATTAGCACCAGGCGCCAACATTAGCACCAGGCGCCAAGCGTAGCGCCAGGCGCTACAGCTGGCGTTTGGCGCTGATTCAGAAATTCACGCGTTTTCTTAAAATCAGATAGAAATTGCCGTACAGGAGGATAAAATCGTATTTTTTCTTAAAAATGCTCTTTGATTTTAATTAAAACTCTGAAAAGTCAACAAAAGTCAATTTATCAATGCTAATTGAATTAGGAATGAAAAGAACCTTCTAGAATAATCTAGAAGACTAAAACCATTCCTAATTGCATTAGGAATGATAAATCATATTAGGCCCTCCCCTAGATCATTGGGTCGTATATAAAGCTCAAAACGGGCCCAGTTTAGTAATTTGGCCATAACTTCCTCAATATTCATCGAAATTTGGCTTATAATATATCGTTGGAAAACTCTTGTCAAGCCCTATCCAACTACACTACTATTGGACCCATATCATGGACCAACCAAACTGGATTGGCTGTTTTCTTAAAAATAGGTTTTCAAAAACAAAGAGAAGAGAAAAGAAATTAAAACTATCCGCAACACTAAACTTTCCACACTTTCACTTCATTCGATTATGATTCGACGCGAAAGATACTCATCACTGGGTTTGGTTTTGGGGAGACACAAATGGGTGTCTACATTTGGTAATTGGCTTTTTAATGGCTTTTTGGTTAACTTTTGGTTTTTGGCTTTTTTAGGTGGTCAAACAGCCAAAAAATGTGTTTGGTAATTGACTTTTAGTCAGCGAAAAAGCTGGCTTTTAAGCCAAAATGAAAAAGCTGCTTTGAGTAGCTTTTTTGTTGGCTTTTGGCTTGTTGGCCCACAAATTATCTAATAAACAGCCAACAACCAACAATTAATTTACCAAACACTTTTATAAACAACCAGCTTAAACAGCCAATTTCAAAAGTCATTATAAACAGCAGAACATTCCAGCTAGTCAAACAAGCTAAGTGAACCAGCCAACAGCCAACCGCCAACAACCATTTGCCAAACAAGGCCATTATCTAATAAACAGCCAACAACCAACAACCAACAATTAATTTACCAAACACTTTTATAAACAGCCAGCTTAAACAGCCAATTTCAAAAGTCATTATAAACAGCCAAACATTCCAGCTAGTCAAACAAGCTAAGTGAACCAACCAACAGCCAAACAAGACCGAAGTAATACTTACACTGTAATGATGGCTTTGGGTTTGGACTGATAAGTTCATATTTTATATACTTTATTGTATCATTTTTACTCTATTTTAGAGTATAAATTATGTGTTTATATATAGATATTAATGGCTTATCATGAAATTTACTTTGTTGAGCTTAATTGATAACATTTACTTAATTATACCCCTAATATACGATTTTGACAAAGGAATTACTAAAATTTCAACTTTCATATTGTTTCAGGTTTATTACTTACAAAGACTAAACAAAACAATAGAAACAAAAGCCCACTATATACTCACGTGCAACATATAAGCAAAAGAAGTAGT